CCCGGATTGCCGCCCTCCAGATCCCCCCGGATCACCGCCCTCCAGATCCCTCCAGATTGCCGCCCCCACCTCTCCCCGCCCCCACCGCAGACACTGCTCAGATGAAAGGCACCAAATTGATACAAATAACAGGGCCCTTCCTTGGCTCTCATCTTACTGGTCCTCTGTGTGGTGTCTGATACCATCCCCTCCCTCCTGGAAAGCCTCCTCTGGCCCATCTGATGGCCTCCCTTGGGCCTTCCTCCGGGGCTTGTAGGAACAGCATCCCCAAGCCTCTGGTCTTGACCTCGTGCTCTCCTTTATACACTTTTCTATGTGACGCCCTCACCCCCATCTGAGGCGCCCCCCGCTGTTGCCCTGTCGTCCCTAAGCTGCCGGCCCCAGCTCTTTCCCCCCCGCTGAGCTGCAGTCTGGTGTCTTCTGAGTCAACCCAAGTTGGCCTCCTCAGAAGCCCGCTCTTCTGCCCGCCGCACGCACCACCCTCACGGCTGACGGCACCACTGTCTCTTCCTGCAGCTCAGAAAGAGCAAGACGGCCTCTGATCTTCTCGCCCTGCTCTCTAGGTCATGTTGATTCCACCTCCTCAGGGACGCTCAGGTGCACCCTCCTGCCTCATGGACCCAGGCCTCGGTCACAGCTCACCCGGGCTCGTCCACAGAACCCCTCTCCTGAGAGGCCCTTCTCCAATCCTGCTTCCATCTGGCTGCCAGCAGCGTCTTCCTAAAACACAAATGTGACCACATCACTCCCCAGCTTTAAATCCCGCAACGGCCCCGGACAGCTTGCCACTGAAATGGATTTACTGGCTTCTCTTTTTCAGACTGTAAGCAGCTGGGGGACAAAGACCATGCCGCTTCCCTGGGGTCTGCCACAGGACCTGGCACACAGCAGGTGCTTCGTCGATATCCGAGCAGGATTCCAAGTCTCATCAGGTGCCGCCCGGACGGGTTAAGAGCAGAGTAGGGCAGCGGTTAAGAGCGGAGGCTTCAGGCACAGCTGGCAGGTCCGAGTGCCAGCGCCAACCCCCAGCTATTTGGCCTGGGCGCGATTTCTTATCGTTTGTCAACCTAGGCTTCCTTGAGTGCTGTCCTAGAACAGCACCGCCTACCTTCCCGAGAATGGCACGGTGTGCCTCCAGGACTTAGCACAGTGCCCGACACAGGGACACAGTCAAAGAGCAGGGGCTGTTGTCATTATTATCGATGGCGACCATTAGTTACCCATCAGGGGTAGAAAAGAATCCCAGGATCTTAATGCTGGAGTCCTTAAGCCCCAGAAGGAAACCGACAGCCACCAATGCGGAATGCGGTGAAACCAAACTTAAAACATGTTATCAGTAACTTGTATCAGTATCAGTATCAGTATCAGTACAGGGTATCTTGCTCTTCTGCCTGGGCTGAGGGCTTGCTCTGCAGAGTAAATGCAAGTGCTCTGTGAGCAACAGTGTAGACAGAAGATACACAGCGCAGACAGGACATACTCGCAGACACACCTGGCGTATTTCACACCTGCGTATGGTCTCCCAACACGGACTCGGGCTGACGCACCTTGGGGCAAGTTCATAATTACAGTCCTGTTGTGCTTCCCCATTGTCAGCTGTAATCATCTGTTAAACCAGAAACCAAACAGCTCCTCCTCGCAGCCTTCGCTACGGCCATCAGTGGAGACAGGGCGGCACGATCACCTCAAATTCCCACACACACCGCCCTGCCCCTATCGAGAACCGCTTTGCTAAGGTTCAGGCCGTTGAGACGCCGTTGGCAGGGTCCACTTCTCACACGCTGCCCTTTGCTGGCCTCACCCGCAGAAGGGGTCCCTGAATCAGAACACGTCCTTCCTCTACGAAGAGAAAGCGTTGGAAGAGCCCGTGTTTTGCCGCAGTTCGGGCAAAACGCTTGCTGATTGGAATTCGGGCAGCAATCTGCAAGGGGCTGGCCACCCTCTTGGAGGAAGCCAGGCCCCTGGGGACAGAGGAGCAGAGAAGGAAGAGGACTTAAGGAGGCACCCTTGCGGGGCGAGCTGGGCTCCACCCAGAAAGTGTGAGGAGAGAAAACGCTGAGGAAAACGGTCACAAGGTCCTCTGGTCCCCAGGTTCTTCGTGGTGAGCAGAAGACAGCTCTTTCCAGCGTTGACCGAGACCAGGTGCCTTTCAGGACATGGGGGTGCGGTGGGGTGGAGAGGAAGTGCAAGGGTCAGCTGCTGTTTACCCAGACACCCACAAGGCCAAGTCCAGCCGACATGTACCCCCAAAACTGAACTCAACTGAGATTTTTCGTCTCCCACCTTAACTGATTAAAACGTAACTAAGACTTGCCTTCAGCGTATTCCCGGTTTTGGGCGTGGCCCTCCTAGATCATTCCCACCTAGACCTAGAGGTCTGTGTGAGGGCGCCTGGTACGTCTCTGCAGTGTCACGGACGTTCCGTGTGTCAGGCTCAGCAGGAACCAACTTGCTCTGAGCTCCAGAGCTGCCTGTGCAAGTGGGTCCCGCGGTGCAGGACAGGACGGCAAGGCCACGTCTGAAGTCCGGGTTGGCTGCAGGAAATTCCCTTCTACCGGCAGCCGTGACCGTAGCCCTGCCCCTGGAGCCGAAGCAGCCACTCGAGGGGCACAAGCCACACAAGAGTGTGGAGGCCGCACTCTCTCAAGACTGTGCACAAAGCAATCCCAGACACGAGGTCAGACCCGTGACTCACCTTCCCAGGAGGGCGTGTGCCACCGAGGAAGCGCTGGCAGGACCGACCAGGCTGGCGTCACCCAGCACCCTCCCGCCCCTGCTCCGTCCCTCCCGCGTGCCCACCCTGAATTGCTCTACTGGTCACACACCCGTGTGTGAAGGTGTCTGCGTGGCTTGGGGCACCGCTGCAGGCGTGCTCGATTCATGGTAGGGGTGGGGACCGGGCACCAGAGCACACGGGCCACACAAGAGGGCTTAGTCGGTGCTTCCTGGTGACTTCTGGCCAAAAAGGGCCCAGTTAGCGCCGTCCACAGAGATCCTGGACCCCTCACAGAATCACAGCCCTGTGAGACCTTGTCACAGAGACTTTTTTCAAATAGGCTCTACGCCCAACGTGGGGCCTGAACTCCCAATCCCGAGATCTAGACTTGCACGCTCTAACAACTCGAGCCAGGTGGGCGCCCCACCTGGTGACAGAGCTTTTTAGCGTAAACTGAAAAAGAAAACAGCACACGAGTGTTTTTCCATTATAAAAATTTATCAAGGGAATAATTTGAGTCCTTCACGGCTTGTTTTAATGAAGTAAAAGACTAAAAACCATGAAAACACTTTAAGTTCTTTTTTAACCTACCAAGTGGGATCTAAATTAAATAAATCCTCTAACACTTTAGGAGAGACGTTGCTTTTCCCAAATCAGAAAAATGGATCTCCAAGTCCCACTCTCCTGCCCGTAAGAACTGAACCTCACCAGGGATGGCTCCCCTAAGGACGGGCGCTATGTCTCCGATGCAGACAAGGCCAAGGGCAGAGTCTGTGACACGCGGTGTGACCAGCCAACCAGCGCGCTTCTGACCGCGAAACAGGGCACTGCTATTTACGCGAGGACCAAAGGCATAAAACGGACATGCGGCCACCCTAGTGATAAGGCAGTCTGGGAAACGGTTCCCAGTATGCCCCGCCCCTCGAAGTCAAAAGGCCCGCCTGGAGCCAAGCACCTGGGACCCGCAGGTAGCACCATTTAGGAGGGAAACAGTCCAGGGCTGGTCCTGACACGGAGGCTTCCTCCCTCCGCGGGATTCTCAACCAGACACGACACGACACCGGAGGTGAAATTTCAATGAATACTAAGTCTGGGGTGGAGCCGGTCTCTCCCGGTTGGGGCAGCGAGACGGGCCGCTGCCCAGTCCTGCTGCCCGGTCCTCCCGGGCACGGTGCTGCTCTCCACCTCTCGTCACCGGCGCCTCCGCGGCCGCTAGTCCTTTGGGGGATTCTGGGCCAGGTGCTGTTCCCACTCGACTTCAACCAACTTGTACAGCTCCATGGTGGCCTGAGCGTCTTCCACGGAGGAATGCCCGCTTTTCCCAACCTGGACGCCGGAGGAAGAGAAGAACGTGAAGCCACAGAGAGAGACTACGGCTTTCCTTCCCAACTGGCTCTCCGTGGCCCCCGGGGTGCAGGTGCTTCTGCAGAGTCTGTGGGCTGCGAAGGCCGAACTCCGGTGGGGTCTAGTCCCCACCCCATCTCAGAGGCTCCACTCCCACCCTAATGGCTCAGCCCTTCCTGTGGACGCAGGTGCTCGTCAGTCTACGCCCGGCCAGCACAACGCACCAGATGGCCGCCAGGCCTTCCGAATCTTCCAGCTTCCCCAGTGCCTAACCACGCTCTACGCGACGCGTGGCCCCTCCTCCTCCGGCCAGGCAGGCCGCCCTCCTCTGAGTGCAGACGCGTAGACCACGCAGGGGGTCCCGGCACCCACTCTGCGGACTTCTGGACACCACCACGTGCTCTCCTCTCTTCCTCTCTTCTCAGTTAGGGCTTTGCACCCACCTGAAGGCTCTTCCCTGTCCCGAGCACCCTCTGTGATGCTCTGGGACGGGAGCTGTCACCCCACGTACAGATGGAGAGTCTACCGGGCCCCTTGGTCCAAAGCTCTTCCCATCAGAGCAGCCCGCCCACACCTCTCTACAATCAGAGCAATTCTGGGGCCAGAGCCTGGAGCAAGGCCGCACGGAGGGCGCCCCCAGCGTCCAAGCCACGGGCCTGGCTGCACTGGGGAGACACTACCTGGATGTCCCGGTTCAGAAGCTTCTTCGTGAGACACTTGAGGGACACGGTGGCGTTCTCTGGGCACTCGGCCTTCCGGTTGAGGGGCGGGATGTGGGAGGTGTCGCGGGTGAGAGACTTGGGGTGCGAGTACTGAAGGGCTTTGAAGTCGTTGTGGATGGCATGCCCCACCACTATCTTCCCTGTGAGGATCTTCAAGATCTGAAACAGGAACAGAGGCGGCGCTGGCGAGGAGGTGGCAAAGCCCCTACAAGCCCAACGTGGCCATGGGTCCTTCTAGGCCCTTTTCTCCAAGTGCTCACCTGGCTCATCCTTGAAACGCCCTCTCCCACCAGGCTTCTTCCACCCGAGGCCCAGCTCCACGCCCCGAGGTGAAAGCAGCTACCACCCAAGACGACCCCGCCGCACGATGACGGTAACCCCGTCCGGACTTACACCCCCAACGGCTCCTTATCTTCTAACTTCCATTCCAGCGACAGACCGATTTGCCTCCGTCCCAAATCACACTCAGGCCTGAGATGCTCACGTAACTATCCAGGTCGGTTCTGGCTCGCTACGTGAAGACCTTTGACCCCTACCATATGCTGGCCTGAGACAGGAGGCTTGGACAGATGGGGTCAGAGATGGGCTCCAGGGAGGTGACAGAAGCCCCAAATTGTACACAAAGTTACGTACATGGGGTTTTTTTTTGGGGGGGGGCGGGGAGGGTCTACGGTTTCCATCCGACTCTGGAAGGCCCTACGAGCTACAAAAGCTTCAGAACCTCTTGCAGACTGAGTCCGCGTGCGCCAACCCCCGGCCTTCAGCTCTCCCCACTCACTCACCAGCTGCCCTGGAACCTTATTCCCGTGAGCCTCAGAAGCAAAGACCTTCTCGCCACCGCAGGATCTTAAAGCGTGAGGGCAAACCGGCAACGAGGACAACCAAAGAATACGCCACCAGCTCTGAAGGCCGTTCCCCCGATGGGTCCCGAACAGGTTGTGAACAAGAACTAAAGCGCCCTGACTGGGACACGGCCGGCAGGAAGCCCTGGAAGCGGCAGACCCTGTGAACGGGGCTCTCGGCCCGGCCTGAGCGCTGGGGGATCACTTTAGGACAAGAGCCCCGCGGGAGCGCCACGAGCCAGGCAGGTGCGGGCTCCTAAGGGCACTCTGCGCCCCGCCACACCCTCCCCACCTTCCGCCTCTCCCAAGCGCGGCTCAGGGGTGCCCTGGTGCGCAGGCTCAACTCCTCTCGGGTTCTTTCTAAGATCCAGCCCCCTCCCCTCTGCTGAACCGCCTCCAACTGACTGCAGGCGCATGAAGAACGCCAGCGGAACACAGAGTGTCTAGAGAAAGCAAAGAGCAGGGGGTTGAAGTGGCAGAGAAGTGGACCAAGAGCGCCCTCTGGAGGCCTCCCACGACCAGCTGGCTTCCTCTTCTTCACCTCAGGTTCACCTTCCTTTTCCCGTCCCTCTGTGGAGCTCCCTGCGGCCGGTGAGGAGGCTTGCTCAGCGAGCGAGGTGAGAACCCAACACGACAGCCCTGTGTCGTCTGTCGCAGCTGTCGCTTCGGCACACCCGACCCAGGTACGCGAGTCACCCCTGCTCCCACCAAAACCGCCAGCACCTCCCACGCTAGGCAGGAAGCCCTCCCCACTCTCCCCGAAGACATGGAGCGTTTCCCCCTCCCCCCCTCTCCGCCATCCGTGCCTGGGGCTCTGTCCCTCAGTGGTTACTTCTCTGTACGGATTCCCAGTTCCCCAGACAAGGATTCGACCGGAAAGCGAACAGTCTCAGCCAACCAAGTTCCCTCCACCAGCTAACTGTAGCTTTCTGGACTCCCACCGCTCTGCCCCAGCAGGAAGCCCTCTTTCCGCGGCGATCCACTCCCTCCTTCCCTCCTCCCCATCCTCTGGCGCCTTCCTAGAGTGACATCCTTTGCTGAAAAAATGACGCGGACCTCAGCCCACCGGCCTCGCCACTACCATCGGACCCCAAGCCTCTCACCTGGCTCCGAGCGACCTTGAAGGGTGTGGCATTCACCATGTGCTGCTTCCGGATGCCACTCCATCTGGTCCGGTAGTCCACGATGTGGCAGGGGGGGAGGACGTACTCATCATAAAGCACATCTCCGTGGTAGTTGACGATGCTACATCGAGCCAAGGAACTGACGTGCCCCTTGGGTCCTGTGCCCACCATCTCGCAGTCAATCGCCACCATTTTCCCTGGTGTCTTCTGCGACGCTCCGGAGCATTTATTCTCCAAACGAGATTGGGTGGAGTTCTGTGGGGCGTTTTTCTGAGTAGGGTTCTTCTGGGGGCCCTTCTTCTGGGAGCGAGCTGGGTGGCTCCTAGTCTTTGGAAGAGCACTCTGGAACTCCCCCAGCAAGTCTACTTTGGCCACGACAGACCCAGCCTTCTGTGAAGGGGCAGGGGTCAGCCAAGGCACCGCAGCTTTCCTGTCCAGGGACTGCTCTGGTCCGCTGCTGGAGGCGGCGGTCTTCTTCTTTGGAAGGGGAGAGACCTTCCAAGTGCCATCCACCCTAGGAGCTTCCCCTTTCTTCGGAGGGTCTGGGTGCAGCTTAGGCACCTTGCTAGGGTGCTGGTTCTTCTTATTCAGAAAACCTCTCCGTTCCAAGAACCTCCTCTTCTTGACAAATTTTCGGTGCTTGGCATTCCCCTCTAATGCCTTTTTGGGGGGAGGTTCACCGAAATCCAAATTGAGGAGTAAGGTAGACATGAGGACAGTGGACGGCGGGAGAGCACTTGCGAGGAGCGGCTTACTGACGACAGGAAGATAGAGGCCTCATCTTCTGCTGAATCCCACAGGCCAACGTCTGGAGGTCTGTAGGACACCCTGGGGAAGAGAGTAATCCTGACAACGGAGCCCATAGGCCCCGTGAAACAGTAAGACCCATCTCCGGACGACTTAAAGCTGGAAAGACATCAGAGCGACCGCCCAGAACAGGTACGAATCTGTAATGTGAAATAATGTCAGGGGCACGGTCTGCGCCAGGAAGCTTCGGTTCTAGCGCGGCCCCACAATTCACCAGCCACAGCGTCTTGAGAAGGCCACTTCCCCTCCCAAGAGCTCAGTCTCGTTCGCACCCGGAGGGGGCTGTAGGGCCAACCACCTCGAACTCTGCGTCTGGAAAGCCAGAACAGTGGAGCTGTACCATCCGCCCGCGAGGGCCTCTGGATTACCCAGGCATCCCCGCGCGGCTCCAGGCGGGGGACCACCACACGCGTCTCACGCCGGTCCTTCTCCCGACAAAGGCCCTCTGACCACACACACCCGCTGGGTGAACCGAGGCTTAGGGCCCCCTACGTCGGCGAGCACGCCGGGGGTCCCAGCCACCGAGAGCGACCCCCCGCGCCCACACCTACCTCCTCGCCGGCCCAGCTTAGAGCGAAAGCGCCCGGAACCGGAGGCGGAAGTCGGCGCGCGCCGGCGAGGCCCGGGCCGGCAGGCTCGCGGGTTGGACCGCGCCGGGGGCCGACGCGCACGCGCCCGCAGCGCCCCCGCCTCCGGGAGCGAGGCCAGGGACTCCGAGCGCGTGGGCAGCGGCAGCGGCGGCGGCGGCGGCGTCGGGGGCGGCGGGGGCGGGATGCGCTCCCCGGCCCCTCTAGCCCCGTGGAGGTACAACTCGAAGGCAGGGAGGCCGAGCCCCGGGGGAGGTACCGCCCCCACTTCCGGGGGAGGAGGGAAGTGCGCGGGGAAGGGCGGGCCTGGGCGCCGCGCCACGCCTCTGTGACGTAGTGCGCGGCGCCCCGCCCCAACTTACCCCACGTGTGCGCGACGCCGCCCGCTTGGCGCTGGGGAACGTCGCGACCTGTGACGTCAGGGGACGCATTCCGTCTTCCGCCCCAGCCGCAGACCCCCGCGGGGCACTGACCCTGGCTACCCGCTCGGCTCGTTCTCGCTCCTGACGCCACCAGCTGGACCCCGGGATGCCGGGCGTCTCCGCCCGCGGCCTCTCTCACGAGGAGAGGAGGCAGCTGGCGGTGAACCTCACCCGTGTGCTGGCGCGCTACCGTCCCATCCTGGACGCCTACATCATCGTGAGGCCACAGGGGTGTGGGCGGGGTGCTGCCGGTTGTGCGGTTGGCTGGGTGCCCGTGGCAGGGGCAGAACCTGGAGAGGTGGCTTCTACTCTCTTTTTTTCTATGGGTTTCGGTCTGTGGTCTGTACAAGAAAGGGTTAAAACTGGGGTTACTCCCTCCCGGTTTTTGAGTTGACATACGTATTAATATTTCTGGTATCTCGCTGGTTTCTCTAACTTTCCCAAGTCCAAAATAAAATGCGTGAACAACAGAGCCACGCTGCAGCTCGTTGAGCTTCCCCAGGAACCTGTGAGGTGTTCAGGAACACACGTGTTCATTGATCCGAGCTTTGCATAAAGTCCTGGTTTAGTAGCCTACTGGACAGCCACAGCTTTGGAATCAGACCGGCTTGACTGCCTCCTTTACTGTGTTAGATGGAGGCATTATTAAGAACTTCCTGCCACCTGTTTCTCAGCTGTAATAGGGATCCCTGTCTGAAGGATCGTTATGAAGAATGAGTGAGATGATGTGTAAGTGGCAACAGCATCCACTGAATCGTTCAGCCCCTCCAAGCCCAGAAGCCATTATTGATTCAACTCTTGCTTTCATTGATCAAGAGTCCAGTTCTTCAAAGCGTCCTGTTGCCTCTACCTCCAGAACAGATACTAAATTCACCCTTTGTTTCCACCTCCATTGCTACCACCCTGGGCCAAGCCACCATCATCTCTCTCCTGGACTCCTTCCTAACTGATCTCTGTGTTCACTTACTCTCCATAACCACTTCTTCATAAAGCAGCTTGATCCTCGTAAACTGGGAATCCCGGGCGCCTGGGTGGCTCAGTCAGTTGAGTGGCTAACTCATGATCTCATAGTTGGTGGGAGGGGATCCGGAGTCAGGCTCTGTGCTGACAGCGCTGAGCCTGCTTTGGAATCTCTCTCCGTCCCTCTCTGTCCCTCCCCACCCCGACCCAGGTATGCACATGCAGTCTCTCTCAAAATAAATTTTTTAAAAACGTAAGTTTGATCAGGGCACCTGGCTGGCTCAGTCCGTAGAGTTTGCTACACTCTTGATCTTGGAGTAGTAAGTTGGAGCCTCACGTTGGTGTCAAGTTTACTTGAAAAACACGTAAATCTGATCGAGACACTGCCTTGCTTCCCAGGTGCTTTGATGAAATCTTAACTCCTTACCATTATCGAAAAAGTGCTACATGATCTGTCCCCTGCTGCCTTTTGAAGGCTAGCACATTTGTCCTCTCCCACATTGACTCTACTACACCTATACTGGCCTGATTTCTGCTCTGTAAATATGGCAGGCCTCTGGGCCTTTGCACTTACTGGTCAGCCTGGAATGCTTTTCCTCCACAGGAAGGCGAAAGAAAACAGTGATTAAGGGCAAGAACTGGAGTCCAGTTGGTTTCAGATTCCAGCTCTGCTGCTTACTAGCTTTTTGACTTGGGCAAGTTACTTAACAGCTGTGTGTCAGTTTCCTTCTCTGGAAAATGCCAAGTAAAAATAGTACTTATCTCATAGGGTTGTTTGAAGATTCAATGCATTAATACATGGAAAATGCTTGGGACAGTGCCTGGCATATTAAAATATCTTATGAGTGTTTGCTACGACCTGAGTTTTTTTTTTTATCGAGGTATAATTGATAATGTAACTTTGTATTGGGGGTATAACACAGTGATTTGATATTTGTGTTGCAAAATGATCACCATGGTAAGTGTAGTGAAACACCTTTCACCTCTCAAGTTACCTTTATTGTGAGGAGAACTTCTCAGGTGTGCTGTCATCAACTTGCAAGTATGCAGTCCATCATCGTTAGCTGTGGTCGCTTTGATGTACATTACGTCTCCATGATTTATTTATTTTCACAACTGGAAGTTTGTATTTTTTGACCCTCCTCACCCATTTCGCAAGCTCCCCAGACCAGTGTTCCGTCCGTACTCTCTCAAGCTCCGTTGTGTTACCGTTTTCATTAGTGTTTGATCGTCTCTGTGGCACTTGACGTTACCTGAAATTATTTTTTTTATGGAAACTCTGCGAGAGCAAGAATCTTGTCGGGTTCATTGTTGTGTCCTCTGAGCCTAGACTAGAGCTTGGTGCGTAACCACAGCTCCAGAATTTGTGTTGAACAAACGAACAAATAAAAACACCCTGGGATAACATCTGGCATATAAAGTGTGTGATGCGTATAATGGTAGATTACTTTTTTAATGTGTTTATTTTTGAGAGAGAGAGAGAAGGGGAGAAAACAGGAGCGGGGTAGGGGCAGAGAGAGAGGGGGACGGAGGATCTGAAGCAGAGAGCCCGACACGGGGCTTGAGCTCCCCAACCATGAGATCATCTGAGCCGAAGTCAGATGCTTAACCGCTGAGCCACCCAGGTGGCCCGTGGTAGATTTTTTTGTTTTTTTTAAGTTGTTTTTTTTTTGAGAGAGAGCACAAGCAGGGGAGGGCAGAGAGAGAGGCTCCCAAGCAGGCTGCACGCTGTCAGCCCAGAGCTCCCGTGACCTGAGCCAGAATCAAGAGTCAGACGCTTAACTGGCTGAGCCACCCAGCTGCTCGGGTAACAATGGTAGATTATCAAGCGGTGATGTACTAATACCACACAGGTCAGTCACTGTGGTGGCGCAGATGCCGGAGCGAAGACGCCATCCTTGCCCTTAAGCGCAGCTGAGTAGAGAAAGCGGACACATCCGTGAGTAGGGACGCTGCTGCAAGAGAGGCGTCCAGGATGCCATCTGGGCTCCGAGGAAAGGGGAGGCAGGAGCAGGCTTCAGAGGAGAGGTGACTCGCAGGAGTAGGAGGCGCCTGCTGGCCGCAGCCAGTGGCCCTTCGTCGAGGACGGGGGAGGGCGGGGAGGGCGGCGGCCTACTGACCGCCCCCCTCCTGCCTCCTCCCTCCTCCCGCAGGAGTTCTTCACAGACAACCTGTGGGGCACACTGCCTTGGTCGTGGCGGGAGGCGCTGGATGGACTGAACCCACCACAGCTGGCCGCACAGCTGCTGGGGATGCCTGGGGAAGGAGAAGTGGTCAGGTAGGGGCAAGCGGGGCCCCGTGCCGGGGGGCCCGGGTGTCACTGTCAGGACGCGATGGAGCTATTCACTGGGGGCCCGGGCTGGCCTATCGCAGGTACGGGTCGGTGTGGCCACTCACCCTGCTGGCCCTGAAGTCCACAGCCCGTGCCCTGGCCTTTACCCGGACACCTGGGTTTCAGACCCCCTCAGAGTTCCTGGAGAACCCCAGCCAGAGCTCCCGCCTGACAGCCCCGTTCCGGAAACACGTCAGGCCCAAGAAGCAGCATGAGATCCGGAGGCTGGGAGAGGTGAGATGGCGGGCTGGAGGGGCGGGAGGGCCCCTTAAGGCTGTGGGTGGCCAGGAGGTGGGCACTTTGCACGGCCCGCGGGACCAGCCTTGGCAGGCATGGTCTGGATGCCGGGTATTTTGTGCGTCCGCCCTCTCGACGGGTAGGTTGGTGGCTGCGTCTGAACCGAGGTCTTCCTATTTTCCGCCTCCGCAGTCTGCTCAGGGCTTCATAGCAGCGCTCTCCTCCTTGTTCACACTGAGAGGAGCAAGGAGAGGAGGCTGAGCCTGGGGTCAGCACCTCCCTTTCGGTTTCTCTATCTCGTGTTCGTGGCTCCCCTGCCCTCTTCCTGTGCCCTCTGCGGCGCCTCCGCCCCCGTTGGGGGTGTTTGCCCTGGGAGCCAACACCCAGTGGCCGGGAGAGCTTTGTTCCCTCCTCTTGTAGTTGGTGAAGAAACTGAGTGACCTCACGGGCTGCACCCAGGTCGTGGATATAGGCTCAGGCCAGGTGAGTCAGACCCTTAACATTCTGGGTCTCAGGTCTGGGTGTTTCGTTGTTTGAGTCGTGGGGACGGAGAGCTGGAGGCAGGTCGTCAGGCTGCAGGCCCAGGGAAGCAGGCGCTGGGCAGTGGTGGAACTAGGCAGGGCAGGACTTGAGCCTCCTGGGGGCCCGGGACCCAGGCGTCCAGGTCACTGCTAGGGAGGCTGACAGCAGACAGGCCGCTGGACGGGACCGTCTCCACCCTCCCTGTCGTGACTCCAGGGCCATCTCTCCCGATTCATGTCCCTGGGGCTGGGGCTGACAGTGAAGAGCATCGAAGGCGATCGGAGGCTGGTGGAGAGAGCCCAGCGCCTGGACCGGGAGCTCCTGCAGGCCCTGGAGAAGGAGGAGAAGAGGAGCCCACAGGTCGGCCAGCTTTTCGTGCAGCCGGGGCTGCGGGACGAGGCCCGCTTGGCAGGCGTTGGGCACCAAGGCCGACTCCTTTCTGTTTCCGGGATTGACGGCGTGATCCCCAATCCTGCTACCCCTTTGAGGGGCCCCCGTCACCCAAACCTCCTCATACCGTAAAAGCACTTTCTGGTTACAAAGTGCTTTCCACCCTGACGTGCGCTTCTCCCAGCCACCTGTGGAGCGGCCGGTCAGGTGTTCGTTAGGCTCGTGACAGAGGGGAACCGGGACTCACAGACGAGGTTTGCAGTTGATGGTGATGGGCCCCAGAGTTCACCCAGCTCCCCCGTCCCGCGGTGCTCTCCCTCTTTGGGAAGGAGCGCAGGGGACACTCCCTTCCTGTGGCCGGAGGGGGCACAGGGACAGCAGACTTCCCACCTGCCTCTGTTCCGTCCTGCCTCCACAGGTGACCCGGGCCGGCCCTCGCCACTCCCCACACCACGTGGTTAGGTGGGTAGAGCCCACGGCCCTGTGCGAGGAGCTCCTGCTTCCCCTGGAGCCCTTGCCTCCGCGGGGGGCCCGCCTGCTGCTGACGGGCCTCCACGCCTGCGGGGACCTGAGCGTCGCCTTGCTGAGGCACTTCTCCTGCCCCGAGGTGGTGGCCCTGGCCTCGGTGGGCTGCTGCTACATGAAGTTGAGTGAGCCTGGCGGCTACCCACTGAGTCAGTGGGTGGCGGGGCTTCGTGGCTCTGAGCTGCCCTACAGGCTGCGGGAGGGGGCCTGCCACGCCTTGGAGGACTACGCCGAGCGGCTACAGAGAGCGGGCCCGGGGCTCCGCACCCACTGCTATCGGGCAGCACTGGAGACGGTCATCCGGGGCGCCCGGCCCGAGCTTCGACGGCCAGGCGTGCAAGGGATCCCCAGGGTCCACGAGCTCAAGATCGAAGAGTGAGGCTGGGGGGG